AACTCCACAGCAAAATGAAGAGGATCTGCAGCAGCGACATCTCAGGAGGATCATCCCAGCCCAAACAGCTCCCAGGGTCACACAGCTCAGGATTTCCATGGGATCAGACCTGCACAGAAGTCAGGATGTGGAAATGGAGCTCCAAAGATACTCCATGAGAAAATGCTTGGGATGTGCTGGCAGGAATTGTTTCTCATTTGCAAGACACTTCAATATATGCTTACTTAAAAAAAATAGAAAGTACACTCATAAATCTTCATCTCTGTATAAATTATTCACGTTATGCAGAGTCATGTATTCTGTGTTAAAAAAAAAAAAAGGGGTTTGCTCAAAATAAATAAATCGATTTCACCACTGTACAAAACAGCAAAACGTTTCAGCTCATTAGTGAGTACACAAAATATTGGTTTTTTCCAATTACCATCTTTACATTTGGGTTTAAAAAATCACCTAAAAAAAATGGGTTGTAACTCAGAATAAATAAATAAATAAAATTAAAATAAAATAAAATTAAAATAAAATTAGAATAAAATTAAAATAAAATTAAAATAAAGTATGTTGTCTCTACATTATAGGAAGTTAAGTAAACAAAACACATTTTTTCCAAGTTATCATCTTTACATTTGGGTTAATAAATCACTTAAATAAAAGGGTTGTAACTCAGAATAAATAAATAAATAAATAAAATTAAAATTTAATTAAAATAAAATTAAAATAAAATATGTTGTCTTTACATTATAGGAAGTTAACTACACAAAACACTTTTTTTCCAAGTTATCTCTACATTTGGGTTAACAAATCACCCAAATAAAAGGGTTGTAACTCAGAAAAAAAAAATTAAAAATTAAAAAAAAAATAGATAAATAAAAAAGAACTGTTGTCTTTATGTTCTACAAAGTTAAGTACACAAAACATATTTTTCCCAATTCCCATCTTTACATTTGGGTTAATAAATCACCTAAATAAAAGGGCTGTAACTCAGAATAAATAAATTAAATTAAATTAAAATAAATTACAATAAAATAAATAAAATAAAAAATGTTACCTTTATGTTCTAGGAAGTTAAGTAAACAAAACATTTTTTTTCCCAATTCCCATCTTTACATTTGGGTTAATAAACTGCCTAAATGAAAGGGTTGTAACTCAGAAAAAAAAAGAAAAAATATATATGTATATAAATAAGTAAAAATATATATATATACATAAATAAATAAATATAAAAATAAATTAATATAAATATATATATATATAAAATAAACAAATGAAATAGTAGAAAAGAACTGCTGCCTTTACCTTATAGGAAGTTAAAAAGCAACCATAAAAATACAGAATGGGCAGGAAAGCACTAAAAATAACTGTCTCAAATAAAATAAACATTTTTATTAAAATAAAATAAAAAAAAATTAAAATAGCCAATCTCAAACCGCAAAGGCTCCGTGGAGATGCAGAAAGAGTTAAGGAGCATCGCAGGCAGCTGATGCCACCTTCTGGTGTCACTTCCAGCAGACACAGGGACAGGCAGGGGTTGTGGCCTCCCAGCAGATTCAGGCTGGTTTATCTGTTCCAAATTCTCTTACCTGACTCGGTTATTGCCTCCCTCCTCCCTTTGCTCCTTGCTGGGAATTTTCTCCATCAATCCTTCCTGGGTAATTGCTGGAGTCAGAGGCACAGAGTGTGCCCTTATCTCTGATACCTGGCTCTGACATCCAAGAAAACATTGAATTTCATTTAACACCATGAAAACAACTGCTAAGGTTAAATAGAAAAACTAGGAGTGTAAATGTGTAAATTAGAGAGTTTCTTATGTCACTGGGTGAAAAAGTTAAAGTTTAGAGTTTAAGCTAGTTTAGAAAACAGAAGACAAGATGGAAGGTTTAGGGTGTTGTCTCTTTTCCTTCTTTCTTCTTTATCTTCTTCTTCCAGAGGTTTTGGGGTAGCAGGAGGTGATTGGATGGAGAATACAAAGCAGCACACAGGTGTTGGGTCATTGGGTCACTAAGAAAAATAATTTACTTGGCATCTGTTAACTGGGTAAATGGACACATAAAACACTTGAAGATCTTTGTTAGCCATTTTTCACCTTTCTATCTTAGTGCACATAGCTCCTTGTACCCTGGATCCATGTAATGGTGATAAGAATAAAGAACTAAGACTGAACAAGAGAGATAAACAAAAGGAATAATAAATATTATCATCAATTTCAGTTCAAGGGGAGAAAGAACCCAACCATGAGAGTCATATAGAGACGGGTAATTGCACTTGTGTTGGAGTTAAACCACAGTGCCATGGATTGAAGGCAGACTGGACTAAATGGATTTTACTATTCTTAGTTGTAAAAACAATCCTAACTTCAGGAAATGTGAGGCTGCCAGGGTGGGGAGGCCCTGGAATGGATTTCCCAGAGCAGCTGGGGCTGCCCCTGGATCCCTGGAATGTCCCAGGCCAGGCTGGACAGGGCTTGGAGCAGTCTGGGACTGTGGGAGGCATCCCTGGCTGTAGCAGAGGTGAGCTTTAAGGTCCCTTTCAACACAAACCGTTCTGGGATTCAGGGATTCCAAAAATGATTTGGTTAATTCAATGTCACTTGACAGTTTTTAGTCCTATTTCTGCTGCATTAATTTCTTTCATTTTTATTTGAACTGGAGTTACTGGGCTCAAAAATCAGTTTAATCCATACTGATTAAACCAGTTAAATTCATATTAAAATATACATGTGCTCATTAATTCTTTGAGATTAAACCAATAAAAAGCATGTAAAGGACACAGAGATTGCATTTAGAGATACAACAGGTGACAGAGAGACAAGCAGGTCACTGAGAAAACAGGGAATGGATCCTGAAACTCCCTTTTCCTCCTGAAAGGCACTTGAGAAGCAAATGTTGTGTTCAGTTCTCGCATCAGGGAAGGACATTTTGGCTCCTGTCATGGCACAACCCAAGCAGAGTTGGGATTTCCACATCCCCCCACTGCTGCTGGGGTCCTGCAAGGAACACATCCAATGTTTCCCACACCATTTGCTCCTTGGATCAGCACTAATTCATTATTTTCCAGGTTCCTCTGCTCAGATGGAATCACTTGGATCTTCACAGCTCACCCAATTTACTCAGGAAAAAATTCCCTCTCCCTCATGTTCCTTCTTTCCCAAGCAGCACTTTGCTTGCTTTAATTCACCAAGGTTATTCCCAGTCTCTCCAATTTAAATGTGAACGTTGCAAACCCCTCAAAGTAGCAGAAAACATGGAAGTGAGCTTTGAAACTGTTTCTCTGCAGCCAAATCCAGGGAGCCTCTTGGGATGACAAACACACTCCAAAACTCCAGTCAATCCACACATAAACATAAATCTTATTAGATTTATATGTATATATTTATAGATCTTTCCTATTAGAGAAAGAACCAGCATTTTCTAGTTCCTGACATTTAAAACTCTGCACATGATGTAAAATCCAGCAAAAATCACTTCCACAATCTCACCTGAAAGATATTCCCAATAAACAACAGAACAGGAATCCCTATTCCAATCCTGCTGCAGAGGTGCACAAATAAGGGAATTCAAATTAAACTTCATATCCTCACCATGTTTAAACAGCACAAAACCACCTGTCAGTGGCATTCCCAGCTGGACAAAGGACAATTTTACAGCACCAGTCCCTCATTTTCTTTTTTTTTCCTTTTGAATGAAGATTTCCATGGCCTGCAGCATCACCCACCACTCCTCCCCTTTTCCTGCACTCGAGGCACCCAAATTCTGCAATGACTATTCCAGTTCTGCTTCACAGAAGGTTTCATCACCACTAATCCTTTAAATGAAAGCCATTCCACATCTGGCACTTACCATCAAAGCCTTGGGAGTTTATGGAATCCTCCTCTGCACCTCACATTTTCCCAGAACCCATTAAAAGTTCGAAGCTCCAGCTAAAGGTTTTTTAAGTAATTAGATGAGGATTAGACTACACGAAATCAGAGATACACAGCAATTTCAGAGATATCTTCTGGCCAATTTTCCCTGAAAATGATCCACTGAAAATGATCTTTGTGGTGAGGAGAGTCCATGCTAAGTGTACAGCTTTCAATCTGCAGAGGAAATTACTTCCCATTTTCATTAAGCCTCCAAAGGGTTTTGGGGATGGTAGTGAAGCAAGGTTATTTCTAGATATCAAGGAGAATATTTTTTTTTTCTTTTACAGAAAATGTATTTTCAACAATTCTTTTTTTAAAAAAAAAAAATTCATTTATACTTCAGACTATCAGCCAGTCCCTGCAATGAGCCCAGCTCTAAGAAAGGCTGGAGAGATCAAATAAAGAGGAATTTTCAGGGAGCAGCAATCCCAGTGAAGCCACAGGTGCCCCCCCAAAAGCTGCCACCACCCCTCACCTGACCAAGGCAGCGCCGTGGGTTCCTCTGTTCCCAACAGGAATAATCTAGCCTCACCTCTCCCTGCAGACATCAGATGGAATAAAAATAGAGCATCAGTTAAGTAAAAAACAGGTAATTTTAGACACCTGAGTTTGTGAGGAGCTCGCAGGATTTAAAGCTCTGCAAGTGTTTTTAGCTGCCAGGACTTTGAACTCGTACAACGTAAGACAAAACAGGTTTAAACACAGCTCGGATTAAAAATAGTTCTTTATGTAGAAAGCCAAGATGGAAAATACACTGACTGCATGACAAAGGCAAGATTTTCCTGGGAGGGTGGGTCTGGACTAAACAACATCTCCTGGTTCCTTCCAACCTCAGTGATGCTGGGATTTGTAACACAGAAACATCCAAAACAGCAGAAATTCACCCCATTTCTCTGGCAGGGCAAGAAACTCTCATTCCCCATTTTCCCAGGTTTCAGATCCCAGCCCATCCCTCCCCTGGCACAGAATTATCCCATGATCTGCAACCTTCTGGAAATAAGTGCATATGCTGGGATCAAAGGATCAGAGTCCCCGAGCAGCCTCCAGAACAGCTGCTGTCCCTGCTTGCACACTGTGAAATAACCACATATGCACCATGGCCAGCTTTTGATATGTATTTTTATTTCCCTGCAGTTTTCACTTATCAAGAACAAGTAACAGGGAAAGTTGTCTGAACTAGTGCATAAACAAACATTCGGAAACACCACTACACGTATCTAATGTACAAGAACCGTATAAAAAAAGTCACTAAAACACTACACTACGAAGGTGTCCAACGCTTACAGTCAGACTTTTTCCAACCCGTTACTTGCCTTGTAGCCACAGGAAAACTCTCCAAAATTGAAAAGACAATCTTGCCACAACCCTCCCACCCCCCTGGGATGGCTCGATAGCTAGACATCCAATAATGAATTATTGCAATGATATAGAATGCAATACATACCTGGTAAAATATCCTTTAATGTGGTGTGGTACAGCTTGAAAGCCGGTTAAAATACGCAGTCTTCGGATAAAATGGCATCAAGGTGAAAATTTTCTCAGATCTGCACATTTGGAGATGTGCCAGATGCATAATTTTCCTAGTCAGTTTTTTTTTCCCCTCTCCTGTGTAATTATTTTTTATAAACTGGTATTATAAATAGAAATATACATTCAAAATATATGGAAAAGTGAGTTACTACATTAAATTTGCATGTATCGATCCATCCCTTTCCCCTGCACAGTAATAGAAAATACTATTTTGCCTTGAACTTCATATTTGACAGTGAAATGCCACTAAAGTATTTACCAAAAAGTCCATCTAGTCAAATTGTGAAACAAAATGAACCAAGTGAAAACTTTACATTTCCTTTAGAAAAAAATTACAAGAATTTTGTTTCCTAGCTATGAATCTTTAACTTTTTTTTTTAGACACAAAGTTGCATTTATTTGTACAAGATACAAAATGTAAACATGGCAAAATAAATAGTTTAAACAAGTGATGCAGGATCTCATGTCATGCTCATGATCCCATTAAAGAATTATTTTTTAATCCATTCAGTTGCAAATTCAAGTGCAAAAGCATGATGATGAATATCTACTATTCAAGTAACAGAAATAATATTGATGATACAAATAAACTATTTTACAAGGTAGTGATTTTCCCAATTTTACAAAATTTACATTATATATCGACTTAATACACGATATAATCCGAGTCCATTCAGGTCTGTGTGAGTTCTCTGTGATCCACAGAGCGCTGTGTTTGCATTCAGCTGGAATAGGAAGGAGCACACCGTGACACAGCTGGGGACACTGCTTGGAGGTTATGTCACTTCCATGGCCACTGTGGTCTCTGCGATGCCGTTCAAGCCCAGGCGCTCTGGTTCATGGTTCTCTCTGCAAGGGAAGAGGATCCCACAGTCAGAACACATTTCCTCACATGGTTTTAGTAATTTCTTTCGTATTTTCACACAGATGTTACCTGGACCAGGCAGGAACCTTAAAGCACACACACACTGCAAAACTTATCTGGAAGGAAATACTGGCATTCAACAACTGCTGTTATTCAACAAAGCAGATTTTGCATGATTCTTTGCAAGAATCATCTTTGCAAGAATCATCTTTGCAAGATTTTGCAAAGATCCCTTGCAAGATTATTGCATTTAACTATCCATTTCCAGCCTAAACTAGGGATTAAATCCCTAAAAGCTCTATTGAAGGAACAAAGTCAAGATATGATAACTCAGCATCAGTTACTCTGTTAATGCACCAAGTGTTGCTGCAATTCCCCACCCATTCTGCTTACCACTTTTTCCTCATTTACTAATACCCATTTTTTGACTTTTCCAATTCACAAACATGACTTTGTTTTTTGAAACCCCATATAATCCAGGAGAGGCTTCAAGCAAAACCCAAATACTGCCATGTTCAGAAAAATTTGCCAACTGCAAAGCTCCTGCCACTCCTATGAAACATCATCCTGAAATAACAGTGCTGCTGTTCAATGAGAATAAACACCTTAATGGCTGGACTTGATGAACTTAAATGTCTTTTCCCACCTAAACAATTATGAATTATGATTTTATATGTAAGATACAGCTTGTTGCTTTTCTGGTTTGTGTTTTACATTAATATGTAACACATATATATCTAAATATAAAAATGTATGTGCCAATCTGTACCTTACAATATTGTTACTCAATGATTTAGAGGGAACGTGAGGAGTATTTGACAGAATCTACCTGAAAATGTTGCATGAGAAGGGACAAATGAAATGGTTAAAATTCAAACACAGTAGAAGTTGACCAAAACTACTGGTGCCTAAAGGCAAGGCAAGTTATCTGAGGGGTTAATTTGGAAAACCAGCTCTTGTGCTTTGCCATGGCCATGCTGTGTGCTCCTGGGAGGCTGAAGGTGCTGAGAAGCCTCTCAGAGCTGGAAGAGATTCCCTCCAGTGCAGAGCTGGGCACGACAATGGAGAGGACACAGCCTGAAGCTGCACCAGGGCAGGGTCAGCTGGGACATCAGGAAGGATTTCCTCATGGAAAGGGCTGCCAAGCACTGCTGAGGTTACACTCAGCGCTCTGCTCTGACAAGGTGAGGGTGGCTCACAGCCTTGACTCTGATTTTAGCCATTCCAACCCAAACAATTCCATGATTCCAAGCACAAGTGGGAGCTGCTGCAGCCCTGTCCCCACTCACCTTGCTATACTGCTGATGGCACTGCTGGGAGTTACCTTTGGCACTCTGTCCATGCTGGCAGCAACTGTGGCAAGTTTTAAGGCTGTTGGCGAGGGCGCTGAAGTCCGTGTATTGATATGAACATTGACTGGAGACACAACACTGACGTTGTTGAGGTGCACCGCGCTGGGCAGGCAGGAATTGTTCATGGGGAGAGGCTGAGGGCTGCTCGTGCACAAGGCTGGGATTAAGTGGTTTGTGGTGCTGTGGCCAACTGTCCTTACGAGCTGTACAGTTGAGATCCCTGGGCTGGATGATAAAGCCATGTTGGTGGAGTACAAAGTTCTGGAGGTTCCTGTTACATAGAATAAACGGTGGGTGTTAAAAAGGTGACATTTCTTAAATGAAAAGCCAAAGATTAACCTCAAAAGCAATGCTTTGAGTGTGTAAGTCATTAATGTCCATACTTTACAGACTCACAAAATGGAAAAACTCAGCAGTGGAAACATGGCACACTCCCCTTGATGCCTTAGGATTTAGCTTTTATATTTTTCAGATCCTGTACTGCTTTAGTGTGCAACTCTAAAACACCATGCCCTGTCAGCTGCTGTTCTCCTGTTGTACTCTGACAAAATTCCTTTAAACTTGAAATTCAAGGACACCTCACTGCCTCAGGGCCCAGAAAGTATAAACAAAGTGAGCTGGGGGGGAGCAAACTGGGGGTGTATGAAACTGTAATTGGAGGATTAACCCCTGACATGTAAATGGACCAAACTTATCCAAAAAACTCATGACCATTGTCCATTTTGGGTGAAGCCCCTCAGAGGCTCCTGACTGCCCAAGGTGAAATCTATTGAAGGCCTTTAATAAATACCCACTTAATTCTCTTAATCTTGTCCAGCCTCTGTTCCAGGCATCATCATGTGCCTGATCTTCCACCCTCGAAGCACTGCCCTCTTGGGTATGAACTCAGAGAATTACACAGATCTCTCTCTCTCTACCCTGGAACTGCTCCAGTTTATTGATTTTATTCAGTCGTGTTTTTTCTCCCTCTATTCATTTCATATTATCATTAACCCAGCCTGGCAGAAGGTCTATAAAACTAATCACATCATTAACTGCTAAAACAACAAATTACTTTAAAAGCCTCTTCTTTGTCTTGGCAGCCCAAATCCCATTTGCCCCTTGGCATCGTGGATATGGCACCAGCACAAGCAGCACCACAGGAGGGCTGGGAAGGGGCACTAAGTGCCCATGGCTGCACTTTCTGGGACAAATCCTAAATGCAGTGAAACCTGAGGCTTACAGTGACATCAGAAGAATTGCCAGGAAAGGTTAGTTAGTACATTTTTGGCTGAATATACAAGTCAGGTCACAACCAAATAATGAATCAACTTTTCCATTTCCCTCTCAAAGTAGGTAAATGCTTTAAGCAGTTGATTTATTCTTTCATTACACACTCCCACTGGTTTTAAAATGCTGCCATTTAGACTCTTGATCAGAAGAGATTATTAGAAGATAAAGACTACCAAAGGAAAAGCAAACAATGCTCTTCCAAGGTAAAGAGCACTTGGTGGTTTTCTATCCATTTGAACAACATCTATTGGACAAGCTCTCAGGCACAGGGTGGGATTCTTGGGGCTATACAGGACAAGGAGTTTGACTCTGATCATCCCTGTGGGTCCCTTCCAACTCAGGATATTCCATGATTCAAACCACTGCGGCAAGGTACTTTAGGGAAGGATATTTAAAACGATCGCAACTAAGAGACTGGATTTTTTTTGTTGTTATTATTTACTAACATTTTAATAAGATCAGTTGATAATGAAGAGCAGCTGATACTCTCAGCTCACTCCAGAGCAAGGAGTGCTCACCTGAAGGCTGGACAACACCGTTGATATTGTTGTGGCTGGTGTTCTGCTCCTTGGTTCCCTCGCTGCGCCCGGGGGCCGGGGCACTGACCACTGCAGAGGCAGCAAACTGGGCACTGGCTGAATCCAGGGTTTTGGACATACAGTCAGAGGTGCTGGAGCCCTGCAAGAAGAGGAGAAGGTGATTCTCAATCACCCAAGTACAAATTGAAATATGCCTTACCATTGTTCCAGTGCACAAGCAAAGCAAATAAATAAAAATGACCTAATGCACCACAACACTGAATATTTCTGTGTCACCTGAGTGATGAGAAGTTGGAAATCAGTGTCCAAACGAGGGTTAAACAAGTGCTGCCCAAGGCAGCCAGGCCAGTTCTCAGCACAACAAATCACTTTCGTTGTGTGTTGTTCAGCCTGGAGAGGGAAAGGTTTTGGGGAGAGCTCCGAGCCCCTTGCAGGGCCTGGAGGGGCTCCAGGAGAGCTGGAGAGGGACTGAGGACAAGGGATGGAGGGACAGGAGCCAGGGAATGGCTCCCAGTGCCAGAGGGCAGGAATGGATGGGATATTGGGAATGAATTCCTGTCTGGGAGGGTGGGGATGGGCTGGCACAGGGTGCCCAGAGCAGCTGTGGCTGTCCCTGGATCCCTGGGAGTGTCCCAGGCCAGGCTGGACAGGGCTTGGAGCAGCCTGGGATGGTGGAAGGTGTCCCTGCCACACAACTGGATGGGGCTTTAAGATCCTTTCCAACCCAAACCACACAGGATTCCCTGTGTTTGGAGACATTTCCTCTAAGAAAACAACCATGTCTTAACCTTTTCTGTTCTGTCTCCAGGCAGCAAATGCTCTGCAGCTGCAAATCTCAGGGATGTCCAGTATTTGTGGTACCTCCATTCTGTGACTTGTGCCACAGAATAACTGCCCAGCACATTCTGGAATCCCACTCTGTTAGCCCAGGTTCTACTGGAAAGATTCATCATTCTCACTGGAAAGAACATTAATTCTGCGCCTTCAATTTATATTAACTAAGAAAATTACTTTGCACAGAAGCTTCAAGTGCTTTAAAGATCCAAAATTCCTTTGTTTTGTTCAAATATTTTGGCATCATGTCTTTACACTTACAAAAAATGTCATCAGTATCTGCCAACACAGAATCCCTGATTAATTGAAGTAGAAAAACAGAGGGGAAGGGACAACCAGAACAAACAATTAGATATAAAATACTCAAAGTAATATACACTTTCCTAGTAATAGACAACAGCTTTTATATTTTATTGGGAGAAACTAACAGAAAACTAAGTGCATGGAAAAACATTTTTTCCCCTGCAAGGGATTCCAGAGGAAAAATGGGATTCTTTTAAAAGCCAGAATATGCAGATAGGCAAAGCTCTCCTTTTCCTCTCAGAGGTATCAATTTTTGGTGCTCACTGAACATCTGTTCATAACAGAACACATTACCTCAGAAGGTAATTTTAATAAAGTCTCTTCAGAGCTCTTCCAGACAGGAGGACAAAACCAGTGAAAACAGAAGAGTTGAGAGCACACACTGATATTTTACACTGGTAACTGTGGATCCGGAAGGGTCAGGACATGCAGGGTGGGAGCAGTACCTGTGCTTTTGGATGTGTCTGTTGGGAGGAATGCTGAGATTGCTGCTTCTGCTGCAGCTGGGCCAGCTGCTGCCTCTGCATCTGCACTAACTGCTGTTGGTGTGTCTGGAACTGCTCCTCTGTGATCCCCCCTGTGACTATGGGAAAAAAAGGAGCCACAGTTACACAAAACACTCACGTGGAAAAGGCAAGAGCCCAGCTAAGGTGGCGAACAGGTAGTTGAAGATGACAGAAATCATGTCAGATGCACCCAGAATCTTCAGATTATGTAAAGGAGAGGTCAAGTTGTTTGTTTGTTACATTCTTTCATGGAATCAATTTATAACAAAAGAGTTCAGAGCTTTTGCTGCTTTTAAGCCGTTTCTATCTTTGGTGGTTTTATCCCCAGTAGCTTTAGGCAAAAGCTTAAGAGAAATGATTTTCCTGGCTTTCAGGAAAGAAGCACAGCCTGAAAATCAGAGCTGAGGACAAAGTACCCTGGGCTGAGCTGGATGTCTTCTGTCCCAGTGAGCACTGGGAGAGGATTCCCAGACAATTTCCCTCCCTACAGCCCCTTGCTGTCCCTTTTCCAGCAGCAGAATGGACTCTGAGGGGATTTTCTCTGCCAATGATTGCTTTAGGGATGGCACAGTAAGTTGATTTTTGAGAACCAGATTGATGCCACCCCAGTACTTTCACAGATCCAACATGTGAAGGGAATGAAGTTAGAAAAGCTGGTTTTAATATTGTCCCCCTGAAGAATTTGCACACTTGGTAAAACTGAAAACACTGGCAGGGGTTTAATGCTAAAACCTGAGCTGTGTGCAGTTAACCCAAGAACTGAGTTCTCTGGGGAGCAAGTAAGGAGAGAATTCACTTTTCAACGATTCCCATGAACACATTTCAACACTTTATCCTCAACTCTGTTTTTCCATGAGGTGCAGCAAAGCTTCAATCCAACACCTGGATTCTCAGGAATATCCTCCTATCAAGGGACACTGAGCTAACATTAAAGCAGAGTTATCCATCTTGCAGGGTTTGGCTCTTCCATTTACCACTTTTAGTACTCAGGTTTGTCCTGAAATTCCATTGGGAAAAAATACCAGAATTAGGACTGTTTAATTAGAAATTAGAACTGAAACTTCTTCTTTACTGCTACATCACTAAATCAGGTTCCAATCATGTTAGGGCAGCACTTAAAAGTCCAATTACTTAAAAGTTACCCCTCAAACTCTAGCAATATTTTCATTTCCAACCTAAGTTTATTTTGCATTTAGCTTTACTTTGTTCCTCTTGCAGATTCTTACCTAGAATTTAATTCCAATTTAAATCAACTCAACCTGCTACATTCCCTCCCAAAACACATGGCATTGCTGAAAGCACAGGGCCAAGAACAGCATTATGGAATATTACATATATTTCTATTTTTAAGTTCTGAGGTAACAAATTCCAGAAAATGTGGTGTGTTTTATCAAAAGCTGTTTAAGAACAAGGTGAGATTTCATGCTTTCAATCTCCTTTTCCTTCCCAGTTTATCACAGACCATAAAGTCATGGAATACTCGATTACAGGATACAGGGAAGGTAATCCAGAACTCAATATTCCCTTACTCTGCCTGGATGTGCCTGAATTTCAGGTATTTATCCAGTGGCCAGGCTGAGCTCAGCTGTTCACCTTGTTAAAAACCAGCAGATGTTCTTTAGCACATTAAATATAATTTATTTCTGCCAAATCAAACACCTGGGGGGTCCTGGAGAAGAAAAAAAGAACAAACTTTGACCATGTCCCAAGGCAGCCTCTGAGGTCAGGGTTAAGAGCTCTGCAGCTTCAGGGGGTTTTTATTTTACCAGAGCCTGAAAAACTGCACCACAACAGTGGAAAAAAATCACTTCAGCTGTCACTTCCAGGCTCTTCTCTCCTTGGAAGGTTTGGATTATGTCACTTCTCTCAGGACCTGGAGGCTTTAACCAAAGATCAGCTTGCAGGCTGCCCCAAAAGTGGCATTGTTTCAAGGCTGGGGAAAAAAATACCTCTAAAAAGTAAAAGTTTGTTCCAAAAACAAAACCCTTCAGCTGGGAACAGCACCATGTGCCGTTGTCCTTTCCCCAGGGACAGACTTTTCCCGTTTGCAGTGCTTAAAACATGAGCAAGAGAATAATGTAGCTCCAAAAATTTGTTCTTGATTCATGCACTCATTAGGTATTATGAAGAAAAGTCTAGTCACAAACTTTTAAAATAAAAAATAAATAAATCTATCTGTACAATGCATTTGAGGAAATATCAGAGTTGCTTTACTAATACAGGGAAAAGTATAAAACAGAGGTAATTTTAAATATTCTTGTGCACCAAAAATCAAAGGAACTCTCCAGTTCTATCTAAAATAAAATAATAAAAAGAAAAATAATCAGTTTAAGTACTGCCACCATTTCCTCTGGAGGGAATAGCAAATCAGCTGTAAAATTAAGATTTCAACAATCACTTCCCAAAGAGAATGACTTCAATAAATGCAGTGACAGTGCCTGTGCTCATTTAATGCACAACCAGACTCTGACCAGCCCTTTCAAAATTTATTCCCTATTTGCTAGTGAGAAAATCCAACAGCAGTGCCTCTTCTGGTTCAGTTATTTGGGGAAGAATTCTGTTTTCTATTGTGTCTGATCCTGTTCCAGAACTGCAAGATCTGGTAATTTAAATCTGTGACAAAAAAGGTCCTCCCCAGCCATAAATTCCATGCATAATGTACTTCAATTACTGAGGGATTTCCATTTAATTTAAATGTATTCCTCAGATGATTTCTAAAATTATACCACGAGTTGATTACTATTCCTCCAAAAAGTGGCTTTGATCCATCAGATTTAGTTTTATTCATTTTTTAGCTATTTCTTTACCAGCTCTTGGTGTTTATTGATAATCTCATCACACTGAACTGCCCCTTTCTGCCCCAGCTGGGATTCCTCAGGCCTTCAAGGTCTTTCAAAAAATAATTATATAAAATATATAATGCATTTTATCTGTATGCTCCTGTGCCCATCTTTTCATGGCAGAGAACAATCTAAAGGTTACAGTGACCATACTGAGAGGCTGGGAAAGAATTGGGCTGGAATAAATATTCTGTGCCTCTGTCAGAACAATCTCATAGCACCCAAGAATTCTAGAGATACATTATTGGAGAATAAATATCCATTCCTGCAGCTTTAATAAAGATGGAACATTTCACAGCCACAGAAATGATGGAATTCAGAGTCAGTCTGTTCTATTATTTAATTATCCTGGTTTACAATACAGGATGGAGTTGGGATATGCTCAGATGCTTGCTTTTGTAGATCTCATTTGCTGTATCTCAAATTTTTCACATTTTTGGAGAACCATATCATTTTCACTCCCTTATGATTATAAAGAAGTGACAGTGTTAAAACTTGAGCCATTACAACTCCAGCTCATGAAGTAAGTGAGGCAAACACTGCTCAATTTAAGCTTAAAGCAGTTTTTTCATCACTGGATGCTTCCACTAACATTTTTACCATTTGCAGACCTTTCCACGCCTGCTCAGGGCACTAAGGAACTTCCTACATTTGTCTGAGTCAAAGATGAAAACTGCCAACAAAAATGAGCCACACCCACCCTCCCCAAGAAACCACCAGCTTTATTTTGTATTCATAATGAGCATTCTTCTAGCCTTAAACAAGGTTAGACCAATTAGTGCCATTAAGACTCAATTAGACCTAAACAACTCTTCATATGAGCAGAATCCCTGCTTTGAATAATGTCTGAATCCAGCACTTCAAATTCTAATGGAAGCAAAGCAGGAGGAAGCAGTGTTTGTGGGAAGTTTCTGTATGTTTTAAGAAATGTAAAATACTCAGGCTGTAGCTGTGGTTAGCTCCACACCAGTGCTGAAGATCTCATCAGTCCAGCCACAAAGAAAAACCCCAAAATTCAGCATTTTCAATCCCAGAAGAAGACAAATCCTTGCCTACCTGATATGCCATTCTTGCTGGTGTTCAATAAAGCTACAGATGCTGCAGAGACTCTTTTATTATTCACAGTCTGCCCTGCTTTCCTTGAGGTACATTCTTCACTATCACTGTCCTGGGGATTGAGTAGCCTGGGCTGGAAACACTGCAGTCGACATGATCTGATATTGCTTAGGATTTCAGGAAGGGACAGTCTGTTTTCACAATGTTTATTGGAAGCATTGGTCCGTGAAAAATTAGAAGAAAAGTCTAAAGTCTGGGAAGAGCTTGAAAAACTGTTCAGCATTTCCGGGTCAATCTGCCTCAAGACAGGATCATGTTCTGTGGATATTCGGTCCATGATAACCCTGATTAAAGAGGAGGAGGAAAATCATTAGGTTCATGATCTTTTTAATACTTTTAATCCTTTGAAGGGGAATGAAGAATTAAAAATAACCCAACTGTACCTTCCACCCCTGCCAATCCTCCTCCTTGCAAATCCTATACATCTCCTTGGGATTGTAAGGGTTGTAAGGCAATGCCTGAACCTCAGTTTGTCCAATTCTGCCAATTCTGGGCTTTCATACGAAGAATTTGTTTGGTCCAAACGAGGCTGTGAAGAAAGAGAAGACAATTTTATACTTTGATTAGGGCATTGCTGGTTATCATGCACAGACTCCAGGACAGAACATGTGGTTTTATGTTGAGTTAATCAATAATAGCTTCAGTAGTTAAAAAATAAACTCTAACATTTAGGCTTCAAACAGTAATGGAGAAGTTGGAGAAAATGAAAATAAAAGTTTTCAATCATCTCAACATCTTCTGGCAAAGGAATTAACTCACAGGCTAAGGGAAAAAAGAAAGGAGGATGAATTCTGAGCAAGTGGGAATTCAGCTTGGACCCTTCAGAGCCAAGCAGAAAAGGGGATGTTCCTGCAATTGTCTTTGGAGTCACCAAAGCATCAAAGCTTTGGTGGTGAGAACTGAACTCCAACACTAGCACTATGCCAACCTAAATTAAAGAAACCATCACTGAACCCAACAGCCCAGCATAACACTGGATATTCTTACAGCATAATACTGGCATCCTGCTCTTCTCCTGAAAGCACAAGGTCCATCAGGATCATTTTCTTCTTCTGCTTCTGACACTGGTGAGGGTACCTAGACCAGAAAACAACATCATTATCCCAAGTGCCACATTTGTATAATTGTATTTATGATAAAACTTTGTGTTTATATAACGTGAACTGCCATGTTTATATAGCAATGCACAGCACAGAAGGAAAACTCAATTTATCCGAAGAACTTTTAAATATATTCAGAGTTGGGATGAGCCAGGCTGGCCAAGCACCAGCTAACTGGAATTCCTGCCTTGTGTACAATGAGATTTTACCTGTGGGAACTCATCCTCATCAGAGCTGTGGAAGTCATACTGTTTGATATCGCTCTTGCTGAGCACAGGCAAGGGCTCAGCCAGGGGCTGAGGGGTCACCACACACTCCAGCTTGGGCTTCTTCAGGTATTTCTTCTTCTGACGGACGACATCGGACACCTCCTCCTTCAGAGAGGAGTGGTGAGGATGCTGCTCGGGAAGAACAAACAGGAAATTCTAAAAACTAAAGCATGAGGAAACTTAGTGACTTCAAGAAAGGGCTGTTTGTCTTCCAAAGGTTCTGCAGGGATTTGAGATGCATCATGCAAAATTTACTGAACACATTAAACCCCAGAACTTTTCCTCTGATTATTAATAAATACCTGTAAAAGCAATCAAGAGAGCTCACAGGCCATGTCTGAGCCTGAGAGGCTCCTCACTCTGCACTACACTCAGTATATTGTCATTGAAATTCCTCTTCCAATTATTTTCTGAGATCTCATTTTTCCCCAGCACTTTCAATTTTCTGAACTGCTCAGACACGTTCAAAAGAAACAATTTAATTTGTTTCCTGTTTCTCACAGAGCTGACACTTTTGAACAGATGTGGTGGTATTTGGGTTGGCTATTTAAGATTTTTCTCACAAAAACCCTCTGCAGTGAGCAATTCCATCGATATTGAACTGTCCACTTGAACACAAATGTTATTAAACTTCAAAGCTCCCATTTGAAAAGATTCTTTCACTTGCAAAATTCTGCATTTGAAGGAGAAGCAGCAGTGCAGTTTGAAAAAATGTTTAAATTTACCCTGAATTAACACTCATCAATAACATCCTGATTGAAACTCCAGTAATGGAGCTTGGGAAGCAGAGGAGAAACATGAGGAATGCCAAAATTCCTGGAGAGCCAGGCTTTCAGGGCTTTGTATGGAATTCTGGGACCACTAGGTGTCGCAGGTGCTAAATACAAATTTCCAGAGGTCTTCAACTCTCAGCCTCAGCCCCAAGCATTTTAACTGCTAATATTTCAGGTTATTTCTTCCGAGACAGGTCTGAATTCAAAATATATCCAAAGGGACGATGATCCCAAAGGAATGATGATCCCAGGAACAACAGACTCGTGGCAGGGGAACAAAAATCTTACCTTAACTTTACATTCTTGAACTTTGTGGTGGTTCCCGTTGTGGAGAGATGAAGGAGTTGTGCCCATCTCTTTTTCGGGTCTGTTCAGCTTCACTTCATTGAGGATTTCACCTCCATAATCACCCAAATGGTACCTCAAAAAAACCAGGATTAAAACTATAGGGCTGCATTTCCACTGGGAAATGTCTGAAAGACACAAACCAGTGTCTTCCAATTGCCTACACAAACCCCTTCTCTTTTAAATTCTGAAGTTTGGTATGGTGCTACAATAAATAAATGATGAGAAATGATTTCAAAGCCATTTAATGAAAATTTAAAACCTTGGTTTTTATAATTTGGAATTTTACCTTTTCTCCACAACTTCCAACGTTAAATGCAACAGCTCCCGTTTTGTTTTCTCTCTCCTCTTAATCATCTCCAAAATTGTTATGGCTCTGCTAAACTCCCTCCTTAATTTCAACATCTTCTCGTAAGATGCTTCATCGTTCTTTCGGTTCTGTGGAGAGATGAAACCAATTTTTAGTCAAAAGCAAAGGCCACGAGGCACAAACTGTAAAAATAAAGTTATATAATACTGCTGCAAATGAGGCTCATGAGGACACTCCAAAGCAGCTTTTCCTACAGCAGATTCTACTTGGCAAACAAAAAGCCACAAAAAGCAAACAAACCCAGTTTTCAGAGTAAACTGGGAAGAACTTTTCAGCCACTTCCCCCCATGTATTGCTCAGATTCCAGATCAACCCAGTGGAAGTTTGTCAGCACAAGGAATTCAAGCCTACAACACTTGCCCCACCTTGATTCCGCACACATGTGTACAAAGCAAAATGCTGGGTGATTACACATTCCCTGGTTCAAATCATTCCATCTAAAAATCCAGAAACTGGGAACTTGTTTCCCCTTTTCCCACAGAAAGGAAAGCTCCCAACCCAGCACGCTGTGTGCCAGGCATTGCTCTGAGTTTCAGCTCAAGAAACGGATGGATGGTAAATTGTCCTCTGCAAGAAGCTGGACAGGGATCCCAATTATCCCTACCAAGGGAGAGATGTAAAATTCCAAGCAGCAGAGTCTGCCAAGTCACCTTTCTGGTCTGCATCTTCTCAGTTCTCCTGCGGAAGGCCACGTAGGGGTCGTTGTTGGTGGAGCCGTCCCTCTTCTCCTGCTTGATCTGGGGGATGAGGGAGGGCCCCCGGCAGTTCTTGCGCTTCCTCACCCAGTAGTCATAGACAGCCTTGATCAGGTAATCGTCCTCATTGAGCAGCAGTTTGGCTTCCTGAAGGGTCACAAGCTGCAGGGGAACAGGGAAAAGTTGGGTTGGGGGTGAGGGGAAGATCACCACACACTCACACCAATTGTGCACTTTCTGGATAAACTTCATTATATTCCAGCAAAAGAGTAAAGGGATGAAAAAAGCATTCACAGAAAGAGAAGCCACCAGTTAAGAGTTCCCAGTTTTTCTGAACCAGCAGCATCTCTTTCATCCAATGGTCCAGAACTCCATCAATCTTTCATGGAATCTGAAAACACTTGGAAACAACTACAAGCACAGGATAGAAAGAACTTACTACAGTCTGCAGATCATGATTTGGGAATCACTTTAATCTGACTATTGTTTCCTAAACAAATAAAAAGTTTCTCATTGGTTAACCTTTATTAATGTGTAATTCTTTGCAGCTTTATGTGGATTCCCCTAGAAGCAAATTTGCTTCTTAATTATTTCCCCTCTAAAATGTTTACTTTGTGATAGAATGGGACAATGCCCGTGCCTGTTTATTCCAGCCTGGAGACACAAAGCTGTTCACTTGTTTGCTAAGTTATTTCAGTAGATGGTAGTTTAAAGGTCATTTAAAGATAAAAATTACATCTATGTTCAGCTTTTTATATGGAAATCAGAGTCTAAGTAAATGCAGAAGTATCACTAAATAGTACATTGGTTTAACAGGCTCATATCATCTTCAACCCATTCATTAAATAAGAAGAAAATAGTACCTCTAGTATTACTTAAAAAGAAGTCAGGCAGCACTTCATCTGCCCCATAATTTGAAGAATATCAAGTGAACAACTTAATTTGCACTTTTGCAATGTGTCAAACTTAAATCTTGTCCCTACGTTAGGAGAAGCAAAAAAAGGAAACAACACATTTTGGAAAATGAAGGAAATCCTAAGTGTAACCATGGCTACTCTGCAAGTGTTAATTCCAGCCAGAGCAGAATAAAACCTTTGCAATCTATGGCAGAATTAGAAAAGGCACTGAACTGTTTTTCACAAAAAGGAAAAAGTATTGCTTAGAAATAATTTTGGTTTTGTTTGTTTTTTGCTCCCCTTTACCATTAACATATTTGTAATAAAAAATAAATCCGCTCTGCCTTGGGTACACAGCTGGGGAAGCAAAGTTGAGCCTGTGTGCTCATGTCTGATTCCAGATGCAGAGTCCTTCTATTCCCTGCTTAAATCAGAATGCCCAAGAGGAAAGCCTGGAACCCCTCCTGGGCAGGGAAACCATTCCCAACAACATCCTTTAATATTCCAGGGATAAGGCATGGAAACTGGGAATTGGGAGGCAGCACTCAAACCCCACCAGCCACTTCCCAGGCTCCATAAACCTGCAAGAGTTGCTTGTATTTACAGAAAAAACCTGTATTCTTATAGCATTTTATTTTTGAAAAGCATCTTCAAATCTTAAATCCAGCAAAGAAAGGTGAAACCACCATCAGAAGGATGAATACTGATCATGAAAAGTGATGATCATGAAAAGAATGGTCTGAAACTGAAAGCCAAAACAGAGGTGTCTTTATCAAAGCTCCAGCAAACCCAAGTACATGTTCAACAAGTATCATCCAATATATTCCCTATTTTTTCCCTTTGTTCCCATTTTCTTAGCATAGTAAGAAATCTCTGCCTTTCTGAAGTTGCTCAGAAGTCCAGAGAGAAAAATTCAATATTTTGGCCTTTTAACACAGCACTGAAAATCAGGTTAAGGAACTGAGGCAGAGCCATGGATCCCACAATGGATTTTTCATTCCCACAAATTCTCATCTCACTGGGAAATAACACCTCAAACTTGATTTGCAAACCTGATCCCTCAGGTGTAGTTTCGGAGTAAATATTTTGGGCTGTAAGATCCTTTTCCAGACACTGCCCTCCTGGAACACCTCAGGATCTGATTTAACACTGGCACTAGGTTAATTCTGTGTTTCTAATCCTCAAAAACCAACCAATGTCCAGCACAAACAAGTGAAACAAAATTTGGATTATTAAATGTTTGCAGCCATTTCTACACCTACTGATCATCACAAGCTTATTCCATACCAACAGTGGTAAAACAAGCTGTGTGTTTCTAACACTTTGTGGCCAGGAATTAAAATTTAAAATCAGTCCTGCAACCCCAAAAGCTCCTTCCCCACCTGTTTTATCTGAAGTTACCAGTATTGACACAGGAGACAGCAATGTGATTTTTGTGGAACAGACACACAGACACACAAACTGTTAAGAGGAAATAAAACCAAGCACCCACCCAGAACCACCCCCAGGAAAGCAAAACCTCTCAGTGATTTCTTCACACCATACCTGACTAGAACTGGCTTTTTCGAGTCTGTCAACCATTATTTCAAACTGCAGTGGCTTGATTTCCATCTTCCTGTTCAGCCTGTTCAGTAGGGTCTCATCCTCAGAGTCCATATCATAATCTGGCTGTTCATTGTCCAGGTTAAAGGCTGGAACACAAGAAATTGAAATGCTGGGTAAGTAACACACTGTGGACACACATCTGCAATCAGAAACCAAAAATGACTGAGAAAATTCCAGACCAGCACTTCTCTGCCAAGAACACTTTTTTTATGCTAAAAAGCTTCCCCATGTAACACACGGCAGGTAGAAGCTGCTTGTCTCCAACTTCCAATACAAAAAGAGTCCGAGAAGTTTCATTTTAAGTGACTTGAAGGGGTGATAGACACAGAAACGTTAATGTATCTCTGCAAAACAAGAGCAAAGATGCTTGACAGTACTGATATAATACAGCTCCTTCAGAATATCATGGTAAAAGAGTAACAACTAAGACCATTTTCAATCAAATTCCAGACTTGGAAAAAAAGCATTTACACTCAAGTTCCAATATAATTTCTGTTGCCTATTTTTAAACAGTACACCAAACCTAAAGTGTTGAAATATTTAACAGACTAAACCTTTTCTTGTTTTATGTAACTGTAGAAATCCTACACCAATCCTATGGGAATTGTTCTTCTCTAAAACCACCTCAGCTGTGGATGCAGAGCCTGACAATTCCTTCAGGCTCTCCAAATAGTCAGTTCTCAACTTCTCAGCAAAGCTCATGTCTTTATTACTAATTATGCTAATTAGTTCCCATACGTGACAAAGTTCCTGGTCCTACTAAAAGCAGAAGGAAGTTCTCATCCAGGTAACACAGCAGAAATAAAATTTTACAAGAAATATGAGTGAATTGCGTACGAACTGTTAATAGAAACATTAATTGTACACCTAATAAAACCTTGAAGGGGTGACACACGAGGTACAACACTCCCAGTAATTCAATCAGCGCTGGAATAACAGCAGTTAATAGGCCTGATGAAATATATTCTATTCTTAATAAGACAAACAGCACTATCTTATCTCCGTGCTCTTAACTTGTGGCTATGCCAAGTGCTAATTAAAAAACTCCTGCTACTGAGCTGCCCTGTGTGCTTTGAGAGCTCCTTAAAACAAAAACTTGGAAAACCAGGAGCAGAAAAAAGCCACCAAAAAAGAAGTCTTTAAAACAAATCCCAGTATTTTTCCTCCCACAGGCAGGTGGTAAGCAGTGCCCTTCCACATCTCAGCCTTGCCCAAGACCATTCTCTCTGTGATCCAATGCAATAAATTAGTTAAACCTCTACCAGTATTTATCTATTTATTTATTCAAGCACAGAAACTCAGCCAGATGCAGCTGGGAAGGGCTAAAAGGCAGCTCCTCAGCATCTTCAGCTCAAGCTGGTACCTCTCAGAGGAGACACTGCCCCAATTCTGACAACAGCACTCGGCCAGAAGAGCTCTCTGACCTGCCACACACTGTAACAATTTATTTGAGGAGAAATTAATAACAGGCTGTAACCATGTGTCAAGAACTGCTAGCAGTATTAATTCAGTAATACAAGTTGCATGGCAAGTTTATTTAAGACACTGTCACTGGGCATGTGACCAAGAGCTCTCCAACAATTAACTGTGTATGAGACTTAAACTGCAGCTTTCAACATCAGCTCTGCCTCTCCAGCAGATCACAGCTCACATGTGGACTGAAAACCATTACAGTCCACAGAAAGCTTGTTTGCTCTCACAGTCGGTGTCACATCAGAAAATATGTCAACCCATTGCCTGTCAGTAGATAATTCAATAATCCCCTGTGGACAAAATGTTTCCAGCCAGTTTTTCCAAGCCAGAGCATCAGTGAGCAGGAGGATCTGTGACAGAGAAGAGGTGATGTTGTTCACCTGTAAATTGTAAGCGGTGCCAGGAAACTTCCCTTTGTTTCCACAGTGGGAAAAGAAGAGTCTCTAAAAGGTCTTGAAGTACCCACCTTCCAGAATAAGATCAGGATCAAGTGAGAGGCAGCCAGGAGACAACAAGACAAGCAAAAAGAAAACCCAACCATTCCATCAAGAAGTATCTTAAAACACCAATCACCCTCAGGACCACACTGGATACCAGTGATGGGTGTCCAGGAGGGAAGGCAGGTTACTCCCAGCACCAAGAGTGGCCCCATGGTGCACCTCAGCTGGAAGCAGGGGGTCCCTTCCCCTCTCTGCTCACTATTTTGATAAATATTCAAGATGATAAAAGGCATCCAACAGGTTCTTGCCAGGATCCCCACATATCAAACAAATCCAGTCTCATTTTCTTAAACAAACCCCCATCATTCCTGTGAGAACAGCAGAAGCCCTTGTCACACATCCCACTTTTCATGCTTTTCTGCCTTCAGCAATGTTCTATTTGTTGTGAGCTGTATTTATCAGTGCAGAGGGGGTTTGCATGGGGGTGCAGGTTAATGACACTGAAGGGATGAAGCAGAGCCTGTTTCAGTGCAGACAGGATGGCCACAAACTCTCAGCAGCCTGGGGAGGTGTGAGGGCCTCAGGAAATGCAAGGCTACCACTTCTCTGGAGTTCATCAACCTAAAGCTGGCTTGTCCCACAGAAGTGTCCTCCTCCCCGATGTTCAATGACCGCTCCTCAACACACACTTCCAGCAACATCCTTAATTACCAGTTTTCTTCTTTCCCCACATGGACAGCTCCTGCTAAATCCTGGGACATTCTTCTGACTCAGGATGAATCCAGCCTTTCTCTTCCAGAACATCTGCATTACTACAGGGCACTGTCAGACAGGCCCCAGTGATCCCACCCGGAAAGTCTCTCCAGGAATGCTCAGAACTCTCTGGTTTGCTGCTGCAGACACAACATCCAGTTCCCACCCTCTGCCACTCCACTCTGGTTTGCTGCTGCAGACACAACATCCAGTTCCCACCCTCTGCCACTCCACCCACCCCCAGCAGTACCTGACAGAAGGATTTGCTTTCTTGTTCACTTGAGCTCCCCTAGAAACTGGGTTTATACCAACTCACACAAATGCAATTTGTTTCTCAGTGAAGTTACATTGAACTGGGTTTAACTAAGCTAAATGAAATGAGTTAATTTAGTTAACTGAATTAAGGCTGTGGTTCCACACTCATTGAAGCTGCCACATGCGCGAGTTCCCACTGAAGCCAGTGTTTCCAGTGCCTTCCCTCCCCAGCAAACCACAGCCCTGCCACCCTCTCGTGCCAACAGCAACAACCAGGCCTCAGTCAAGGCAGCAAACTGATAAATACAGGGGGTCACCCAACCAAAAAATGAAAGAAACTTTCTGCCAAAAAGTTCCTTTTAAGGATTCCTGGAGTCCATTCTGCACTTAATGAACACTGTACCATCGTTCCTGTGAGGGGACACTTGTCTTCCAACCCCTAAGCTCTGATTTAGGTCCAAGTTTATCAACTTCATCTCTTTGCTAATTATCAATAATTTAAAATGCATCTCCATGTTATTAAAGCTACAAATATTTTTGGAAAATTATGCAGCATGCTGGAATAATTAGAATAGTTCAAGTTTTTTTCTTTGCATTCAGCTCCACATCACCTGTGTTGGTGCCACTGAGGTTGACTAACACCTGGAACCTTGTTTATTCACAAATTCCAGGCCTTACAAAGAAATTAACTTTTCTCTGCTTGGAACCAGCGATCTAAATAAATTAAGGCAAAACATACTAAAATGTCAGGCTACCAGAATCTCAGTAAAACATAATTTGCCAGAAATACCCACCAGTAAGTATGGATTATAGTATGTGTCCTCCTGGCATTCTCTATCAGTTTACATAACTTCCCTGGCCAAAGTATTGTTGCTATTTGTGATTTAAGCATTAGAAGAGAATTTCTAAGCAGTTTATGTAGCATAAAGCTGCCTTTTATCACACCTACTCCATCCAGAATATGTGGGAAAAATTATCTTGGAGCAGTATCTGATATTTATCTTCAGCTCAAATACCTTCTGTAATTCTGTCCAGAAAGACTGTGAGGCTCAACAAGACAAAGAAAAATTGGCATAATATATTTAACATTTTTAGACATGTTTATTAACAGTATTCACAGTGTTTCTGGCAGTGTCCAACAAAGAACAGAATAAAATACACTCCTCCATCAGCAGCTTGGTTTCAGTTCATTCAGACTGCCTTGTTTCCAAATTTGTTTCTTTTATTAAGGAAAGAAACAATTCCTTTTAGTTGATTTTTCCCTCATCACCTCTATGGTTTTGCACCACAGAGAACCCTGATTATTTCCAGAATCTCCTATTTTGTAAACAAATGGAAAAAAACTGGACCAACTTCACCACACTGGTGAGAAATGATGCAATAATTGAACCAAAGGTTTTGCTACAAAGGTAAGTCCTGGGAGGAATCCAAGTGACCAAATAACCCCCTGAACCACATCCTGCAAAGGACAAACATGAACTGTGTGCCAAGGAACAACTGAACTGTGAAAGTGCCACTTGTCAACAGAACATCAACCAAAAGAAGTGGGAAAATTAATTCACAGCCCACAAGCTTACATTAATGAGATCTTGTAAGACATAAGGTAAACTCATGCGGAATATTTTATCTATAAAATAAACTCAGAGTTCTCTGCTGAAACAGAATTCTTCAGTTTTAGCCAAACTCAGAGAGAAGTGATTGTTACCCGGAACAGCCTGAATCCCAGTGGCAGCACAGCTGCCCTGCTCTGCCAGAATTCTATTCTGAGCAGCAGGACAAAGGCTGATTCCATCACAAAAACTCTTCTGGTTTATGGATCTGCACTTACAGAGAACTTTGGAGCTAACAGGTGAGCAAGACAACCTCTCTCCTGCTCCCTACATCAGTATAAGCAACCAGGAGGCAGCCAGGCAGCTTCAGTTACTCCTTCTAAGGACTAGGAAGGAAAAAATACACAAGAAGTGAGGCTAGATCAAGAATATTGGAAAACCAAGAGCCAGGATGAGGCTCAGCAGCTGCTGCACATGGACAGAGCATCAGCACAGAGCCAGAAACAAACCCTGCAGCAAAATGCCCACCTTCACCAGCAACTGTCAGTTCTTCCAGAACTTGAGAAGATGCTGGAATTTACATCTATAAATGGATTTCTGAGTCCTCCCACTTCCTGACCACTGCAGCAACTCTGACCTCAAGACAGAGGTTCCTCAGGTTAAATAAGGAGTTGAACAGACACCACAACCCACAACACTCCCAATGTTTTTAACTCACGTTGGATGTGAATGAACTGCTTTGGTTGCTTGAACTCTCCTTTGTACAAACGATTGTAGTAGTTGACATTGCTCTCTGCTTCAGGGACTGGGATAACCATGCTCTCCTTCTTTTCTCTGAAAACTTGCTGTGCTGAGATGGCCCGTTGCAAATGATGTTCCTGCAAGGGGAAAATGGGAGAGTTGATTTAGGTATCAGTGTACAAAGTGCATATGAAGACAGTCAGCCTTTTCTCCCACTGTTTCCCTACAGGATAACAGAGTGGAGGCTTTACTGGGTTTTAGAGACCAGCAGGATGCTTGTTCTTAAGATGTGTGTCTCCAGCTTTTTAGGGTTCCTAACTGATGGCAATCTTAAAACTGCAGTGAATGAACTACAAACAGATGAAGAGAATCCTTTGTTCAGACACAGACCACACCTTCCACCAGACTGGGAAAAAGACAAACATTCAAACTTCACAAAATAACCTCAGCAGAAAATTAGGGCTGGGGAAAGCCAAACCCATCCAAACCTGTCAGAAAGAAAATGCATGCAAGATCAGGCCTTTAAAGTCAGAAGAATAGTAAATTTCATCATTCCTGTCTACCCAGCAATCCTAACTGGCCTGCTTTTAGAAGTTTAGCAAGTTAAGAGCAACAGGAAGAAGAGTTCTCACAGAATAACACCTGAAAAGCAAGGACTCCCCAAACAGGTATCACTTCATTTTATTCTTATGGGACAAAAGTCACAAATTCCACAGAATCACTTCAGGTGAAATAGAGATCACAACAAATGTAGCAGTTCACAAAGATTTTTTCCCCACACAATTTTATTAGTTCATTTATTAGTTAACTCAGTGACAACCATCTACTGTTGCAAGTCAGAGCTAAGCTGTAACTTCCCTCTTGAAAGGCCTTGCATGTTAAAATTTAAACCACTAGAAAAATGTCTCAGGCTAAGACATCAAGGCTACTCTGCCTCCTGTGTGTCCAGGGGAGTGACATTCCTCAGCAGGACAGGATCTCAGATCCACACAGCCCTTGGGAAAAGTGAAGTAACCAAGTTCTCCAAATCCTACATAAACCAAGCAAAGTGCAGACTCCCAGCAGATGAACCGCTGGTGGAACCAAGAGTGAAGGTTTCATTCAGCTTCTGCTGTTCTTCCCCAAAGTTTCCCAGATTTGGGGGGTGGGGAGGGTGAGTAGAATATCAGCTGGAAACCCAAACTCAGCACTGTCACAGATCCATGGGACCTTACTCTGCCTGTTCCAGGGGCTGCAGGTTTTCTCTCAGCCATTCCCACACACCCAACTGCTGGGAAAAGCACTTGGTAGGAGCAGGAAGAAACACACACACACAAAAAGGGTTTGCTGCTCTGTGCTCCTCCCTTTGGCTTTCTCAGGGTGCCCCTCCCCACTGTTAACACTCCCAAGAGGCCAGGATCAACACCAGGAATGGGAAGGTGCCAATTCCAGCGCCTGGCTGGCACTGCAGCCTGGCACACACGGCAGTCTGGCACTCACACACTCTGCTACCCACTTGGAAATTCTCTCAAGAACAAGAGTTCTTCCTCTTTAATTCTACAGAATGGTATTTTAAAAAAGGGGGAGTGAAAGAAAACCTTAAAACACGTAAATTATATTTAATAAATGATCCCCTTTTAAATGTTAAGATTTACAGAAATGCAATTAATGCAGCTCCTGCACAATCAGAGCAGCTCTGGGAATCTCCTGCAGCAGATGAAGCAACATTAAATCAATCAGGCTCCCAAGTGAGTGCTATTAGAATTAAGACAAGCATGCAATCCAATAGCTGCTGTGATCTGCCTGAGTTACTCCACACTGAGTAAATCTGTCACTCCACCATTAAAACGTGTCTTGGAGAGCTTGGCAGTGCTGAGTAATTCAACTACACAAAAATGGTTTCATTACTGGGCTGCTTTCAACTGCTGTCCCTGGAGCTGTGTACCAGCAGTCCACAGCACACCACTGCTGTAAGGAAGGGCTTGATCTGTCCCAAATTGAGAACACCTTTTGCTTCTGCAGCCCATGAAAGAGTAATTGAGATGAGTAATTCGGGTCCTCAGCTGTTTTAACGCTGTAGTAAGCACACACAGAGTTCCCAAGGAAGGCTGACAATAGGTGTTAGTACTCATTTCACTATAAAAAGCCTTCAAGCAGAACACAGCTTTCAAACAGAGATTTCAGCTTTCAGCAGTGCTGCTGTCACACCTCAAACAGCAGAGCTCCAAAACAGACAGATAAAGTAAGTAAATTTTAAAATTAGGAACAAAAACCTCAAATCTTTCTGCTCAGCATCCAGTACAGGAAACTTTAACTCCTGTAACAATTCTCTTTAAACAAACTCTGAAGTTTTTTATATGAAAGCTGGGCTAATTAAATGGATTTATTAAACCTCAAGAAGTGTTTTTACAGATCAATTTATAACCAGTACAACTTTTGGTCTAGTTTTCACTTTTTTCTTATGCTTTTGAAAGACACACAGTATTTTAAGCTCACACTTTGTTCTGCAGTAGGGCAGATCCAAAGGTCTTATACAAAATAACAGAGCATTAGAGAAGCAGTGATGACAGCAAACAGAACGTGCTGCCATGGGAATAAAAAGGAGCCCCTGACAAAGAGTGATTACCCATTAATTCCTTAAAAAGCACATCCAGACCTTTCTCTCCAGTATGAAGACAAAATTTCAAACAAACACAGCTTAGACAGGGCTATTTCTTCAACCAACAGCATTGGAGAGATGTAAATGTTTAGTGTGTGCAACACTGCTGCCTGAGCCCATTTACACATTAAACCAGAACTGTGCTCTGAACCCCTTCTGAGACACCACAATCCTTCCTTCCATTTTAATTCAGAAGGGAAAAAAACCCCAAAAAATTCCTGCAATCCTGGTACATTTACACATTAAACCAGAATTGCTCTCTGGACTGCTCCCTTCTGAGACACCACAATCCTTCCTTCCATTTTTCCTCAGGAGGGAAAAAACCCAACTATCCCTACAAGCCTGGTATGTAAAATACTTAGTTTTGGTTGCAGACACTCAGAGCCAGACTCGAAGCCCAGCTGAGAGCAAGGTACCTTCACTGCCATTCCCTCCATCCCTGAAATCCCACAGATCTCATGTTCTCACTCCACTTTTCTGTCTGGGAGTTTCTTCACTCAAAAACAGAGTCCAACAACAGTAATAAATCAACAGGTATTGATCCTATTATCCTGAAGTTATTTTTGTTAAGTTTTAAGGCAAGCACTGATCAATACTGAATGGTACTTTTTACACATTTTTCACGAATATCATGGAATCACAGAATGATTTCAACCCAAACCATCTCATTCCAGCCCCTCACTGCTCCTAATTCCTTTTATCCCACAAACCAGAGCACCTGGACCCTACAGACCAGGTTGGGTTTTTCTTAACCTTTAAGTCTCTTGTTGCCACCCCTCAAGTAATCTCTGAGAAACAGAGTTTATTGAACTTTAAATAACTGCAAGTTTTTTGGTTGAGCATAGATGGAGATGCTCATGGCTGAACACCATCTTCACACTGAAAAGTTCATTTTAAATATCAAACTCCAGTGAGCAATTCCATATTGGGTACAAATCCCTAGACAACAAAGCTTTAGGATTCAATTTACCTGTTCCCATCTTCATTCCTTAAAACTACACCAAATTAGCGAAGTTACTCCTCTTTAGGTTGTTTCACTGCTTTAACCCCACAGCCCTCCATACAAGTAGGATGGAACAGAAAAGTAAATTTATCAACAATTTTTCCAACTCAAAATAAGTTATTTCTAGGCCAACCTAGAGTCAGCCTTCCAATCTACCTGCACCAAGAAAAGAATTAAAGCAAAGAAAACAATTAAAATGTACTGAAGTCTAAATATTTCACTTGTTAAACACTATATTCCAACTGGGAAATTTTAAAAAAAGACATTTTTATCTTTAATAGTGAGATTCAGAAGCTAAAAGTACAGAAGTATAGTTGGAAATGTGCAGACTCATCTTGCAAAGTCTCAAGCACAGCGAGTAACACCTCTTGACAGCACTTCCAGAAAAAAAGTGTCAGGAAGCTCAAAAGCTAATTTGGTCAGAAGCCTCCCTGTCTTGGAAAGCCTCAGCCCCATCTCCTCCCTCTCTGCACACAGACACTTTTTTTAGAGAAGATTCCCAAGAGCAAAAGTGTAAACTCAAGCACCAGCTTTTGTTTTCTTGTGCAGTTAACCCTTGCAATCCTACAGACCTGTTTCCCTTTCTTCCCTCTCCCTCTGCTCTGAGGTGGAAAGAGGACAAGTGAAATAAGGAGTCACGTACAGAGCAGGAAATCAGTGTGTGCTCCACAGGAATTCCCACCCTTGAGATCTGAAACCCATGGCTTCATTCTGGATTTATTTTGGAAAACATGCATTTCAGTGATTCAAAGATGATAATATGCATTTTTCTACTGATTTGATAAAGACTTAATCTAGTCAGGAATCAGAGCTGTTTCCTCTTGCACAGGGTGTCCCCTTAAAACAGTGGATTAATTATCAAGTAATGCAGGGCACTGAGAAAACCATAAAAATCCAAATATTGAGTGAAAACCAACACACTCAAACCAAGGCTTTCAAGGACAATTCCACTCAGCTTCCCTAAGAAGTTTTCAATACTCAATGGAAGGAAGCTGGAGAAAACCCACAAGAAAGAGAAGATACACAAGTGAAAAGGGCTCATGGAACTATTTCTCAGTCTCACTTTTGGCCATATCAAGTTTTTCCAACATGATATCCCCACCCTTTCTTAAAAAAATAAATAATCACAAGAACCACCTGCCCCACACTTGCCTTCCATACTGGTGAATTGTGACTACAACCAAAAAAATGTACTAAAGGTTGGCTGCTCTTACTGACTCAGGGACAGAAGGCAGGGGAAGTGAATCAAATTGGGCTGCTCCATCCTAAAAATTCACACAGGTCCCTGGAATGGGTGAAATCCTTCCCTGGGAGGGTGGAGAGTCCCTGGCACAGGTGCCCAGAGAAGCTGTAGCTGCTCCTGGATCCCTGGGAGTGCCCAAGGCCAGGTTGGACAGGGCTGGGAGCAGCCTGGGACAGATGGAGGTGTCCCTGCCATGGCAGGGGTGGCACTGGATGGGGCTTTAAGTCCCTTCCAAGCCAAACCAGTCTGAGATTCCCTGACTTTTCCATCACTTTCTTCCCTTTCCCAGTTGTTAAAGTGCAACTTCCCAAAGCAGCACCCAAGCCAAGCCAATCCAAATCCTGGGATTACAGCCCATCCCCTGAAGGTATCTCTGGAATACTGATGTTGGATCAACCCAAGGGAAGGGCCCCCAACACTCCTGGGTGACACCTCCTATACAGATGAAGATGTCTCCAGAGGAGAGCAGATGTCAAC